GGAGGTGTAGACTGCGGTTAGGTTTAACCTCCTTTTTGGTGTCTGTTTCTCATTCTCAACGTCTGGAACTCTTTTTATATTTATTTTTTGGTTTATTTTTGGTGGGTTGATTCGTTTTGGAATGACCGTGTCTTCCATTTTTTTGAAAATAAATTTCTATGTTATGTTTCCTTTTGAAATGTACTTACGCTATAGCCATTTAGTTTTTAAACTTTGGTTACAATATTACAATCGCTTTAGTAATTGGATCATAAAACAAACAAATTATTAGTAATCTAACAGATCTTTTAATAGCAGAAAACTGACAAAATTATTATCAGGCAGCTTCTTATTGATTATTATCAAGCAACCTCTTAACATAACTTTTTATCCTAAAAAGAATTTATTGTCAGGCAACCTCTTATTGATTATTATCAAGCAGCCTCTTATTGATTTATTATCAAGCAACTTCTTAACAAACTATTAATAGCAGAAAACTGACAAAATTATTATCAGACAGCCTCTTATTGATTAATACCAAGCAAAAAACCTTTTCTCCTAAAAGAAATTGTATTGATGCAATTGTTTTATCTGTTGGCTTTTGTTTTTCCTTTCAGGTTGAGTCTGAAATATTTTGCCTACATGGTGGGCTGTCCCCATCCATTGAAACCCTTGATAACATTCGAAACTTTGACCGTGTTCAAGAGGTTCCGCATGAAGGTCCAATGTGTGACTTGTTATGGTCTGATCCAGATGACCGATGTGGCTGGGGCATTTCACCTCGGGGTGCTGGGTATACATTTGGCCAGGTAATTTCGAACCGTGCATCAATGTTTTTGTTATTTCACACTTGCCCTTTGATTCTTATGCTGATATAGAATGAAAAATTAAGGGGTTTTCAATCTGACGTTTCATATCCTACTTTGCAGGACATATCTGAACAATTCAATCACATGAATAATTTAAAGTTGATAGCCAGAGCTCATCAACTGGTCATGGATGGATTTAACTGGGCTCATGTAATATTTTTGTTTAATATTTTCTCAACCTATAAATCTCTTATTCTAATCTTGTTTTATGGATTTAAAAGTTTCTGGTATGATGACTCTTTTGTTTGAACAGGAACAAAAGGTGGTTACCATTTTCAGTGCGCCTAACTATTGTTATCGTTGTGGGAACATGGCTTCAATTTTAGAAGTTGATGACTGCAGGAGTCATACATTTATCCAGGTCTCTTTCTCAAACTTGCACAACCATGAGAATGCACAAACAATACTCATCTTTGCTTTATTTCCTGCAATAGTATAAGTATCCATAGCTGATTGATTAGCTCTATTCTCTGCATGGTTTTTCTCTATCAGTTTGAGCCAGCACCCAGAAGAGGAGAACCCGACGTCACACGTAGAACGCCAGACTACTTCTTATGAAGCAGCCAGCTAAGTTGAATCCTTCCCCTGTATACCATAATGGTTTGTGCATCGTTGTAGTCAGAGACATCCTGTGACTTATGCTGCCATGCATTGGTGGTTTTGCCTGCGAACTAAAACTTTTTTATATAGAAAACCCTCTGATTTGTATTTGAAGATCAAGACATCCTCGAGATACAAAGCTATTCAACTTTCTTTCGCCCCTTCGGCCATTTGCGGCCACTTGCTCCATATATTTCAAGGTAGTTTAATTTTGTTACATCTGTTGTGGTAAATTATAGTGCTGGTGTTTTTTCATCTACTAGGTGTTATTTAGTTCGTATACTAGTTCCTGTTGTGTTTGGGGAAAAAAAAAAACTATTGAAATTATTGGGATTCTTACTTTTTGTTTCAAGAAGTTTCAGTATGAATCGTATTTTTACGCAGATGAGTTTCTTTTGTTTGATTCACAAATGATGACTCTTGTTGTTAAGTCCGAGAATGGATGGAAGATGTTTTACAATATTGTGTAGTATGCTTGGGACAATAGACGTTTAATATTAACCCAATGTATTGATATTGAAGAAGGGGTTGTTATGCAGTAGCAACTCATGATGTTAAGAATCAAGTAGTTTATATATAAATTTCACGGTTCGATGAGACGGTTTCTAGGCGTTTCAACTTTGTCCTTGATGTAGTATAGATTCCATATCACGACCTTATGTGTTTAAGGTTCCTAAGGGTATAAAACACTTAACAATTGTTAATATTATATGTGATCTATTATGTGATGTTGGGTACCCTATGTTGAAGGATTGTTGGCACCATTTAAAGGAGAGTGATACCACCTATGTGGATGGCGTGGAGCAAGGAGTGCACCAATTAGTGTAGAAAGGAATGGACATTCGATGTACTAAAAGGGAGGTGGTGGGTCATTGTTCGAAAAATGTCCCTCGAATTAGTTCAAGCCTAGAGAAATAATAACATGTTGCCTCGTTCACAACCTTATCACTAGAAAAATGGATCCAAACACGACCTTGAACGAAAGGGAGGAAGTGGACTCAATGTAACGTCCTGATTCTTGATACCTCGAATCACAAGTCATCATATTAACGCTCAACTATAATCCTTAACCACTAAGTTTGCTCTAGTCTATTCTTGCCCTATAAGGCTTTTGCATACAACTCTATACACTTCTACCCTAGGAGTGTATACTTATAAGGTTCTATGGTAAGCTCTAATTTATCGAGCTCTTGTAACGAGCTCTAATTTCTAATTATTTTTTGTGGAATTCAAAACTAGATTTAAGGACCATAATAACGTAGAATAGGTACATTGTTTAATATACTCATGAAATATATTCTAGAGAGCACATAGTTTGTCACTTGGCATAAATGGGTTCCTAAACCCTAAATCATACATTTATCAACATATATAAACATACCATGATCGAACACGGGCAGTAAATCTATCAGATTTCACAAAGTTGTAAAACTGAGTTTACTAGACTTAGTAACCGTAAAATAGCTTAACTTAGGCTTCTAAACATGATTTCTAATTATTTGTCCATAGTCCTAATCTGCTCCTAAAGTATTTCTTAACGATTGCTCCATGTGGTTACTTGTATATCAACTTTTCGAGCTTGGTTCGGGTTTTCAAGAATTTCAAATTCTCCAAAATTCTTGAATGTCCTAAATTAAATCAAAATAATAAAACTATTGAAAATGGCTCGTAGAATAGACTCTAAGAAGCTTCAAATCCGTTAAAAAAATGAATGGCCAATGGCCAAGAAACTAAACGTTAACTGTATGGTCATCTTCTCCAACATGTGTGTCATTTTGCTTTCCTTCTCTTTTTTCTTTTTTTTTAAAAAATATTTATTTATTTTCTTAAAATTCCAGGTATTACACCGAGCCTCCAGTGTCATAGGTGGAGATAATACTCGCTTCATCAAAACTTCCAACGAATGGAGGAATAACTTGACCAATAAAATGTTTGATGCATGGAACAATCGTGATTACTAGCAATTATTTTTTCTCTGATTGAATAGAAAATTTTGTGTGTATACGTACTTTGAAGACTCGTTTTTTTTTTTTTCTTTAATTGAGAATTATAATGTTTACATTTCCGAAGTATTATTACAAGTCAAAATTCGTATCTTTCTAGCACAATATGCGACCTAAAATCTTTAAATTTTGAACTTATCATTATTGAGATATACTTACGCATGCAACGTACCGACAGGTGCTGATAAAAACAAAGAACACATGAAGACGAAGATAGAAGATGCAAAGCTTATGGAGTCCCTCGCGGCCTTAATGGATGGGGAAGAGGCGAAGAATGGACAATGGGATGTTCAAGCTCGGGTACCTACAACGATTGATAGAAGAGAAGTTACTAGGTTTGCATTCTTAAAGGGACTGACTATAAATAATAAGGTTAGGAGGGAGTCTCAAGAAACGGTACACAACAATTCATAAGTGGCTCAAACAAACCTGTGGCAGATTCGGCTAGAACAAAGAGTTTATACTAATATGAATAGGGTTATTCAATTGCGGAAGACATGTGGAATAAAGCATTTCCTCATTACTATAACTTGACTATCGTGTTTGAAAAGCATCAGGTCACATAGCTGGGTAGAGGAACCCTATAGAGATAACATCAAACACTTTCGATACTAATATGAATAGGGTTATTCAATTGCGAAAGACATGTGGAATAAAGCATTTCCTCATTACTATAACTTGACTATCGTGTTTGAAAAGCATCGGGTCACATAGCTGGGTAGAGAAACCCTATAGAGATGACATCAAACACTTTCGAGGAGATGGATGATGATGTCCAATTGAGTTCTCAAGAGTACATCATCCCAAAACCACCACCATTCAATGGCACAAGGGACATGATGGAAAAGGAGATGCCGAAGACAATGACCAACAGACATATTGGAACAGGAACGTCATCACGAGCAAACAAGAGGAAAATTACTTCTTTTCACTAAAAAAATGATTGACATTGTACAAAAGGCAACGAATATACAAATAACCCAACTTTAAAAATCTTCCTTCACCCCCATGGAAGGAAGCAATGGACCAACTCGAGTAAATTATGGGCCTAAACAAAGGCGAAAAAATCCATCTTATCCGTCATGACGTAACTGAAGAGAAGATATTGCATGAAGAGAAGATATTGCATGCATTTGCTAGGTTGAAGAGAAGATATTGCATGCATCAGTCACTTTGTGATCGTTAATTATTAGTTGGTTCATACGTAATTGCAATTTGAGAAGGTTAATGTAACAGCCCAACTTAGCAAATATTGTCCATTTTGGTCTATTACATACCATCATTAGCCTCATAATTCTAAAATGAAGTTACTAGGAAGAGGTTTCCACACCTTTAAAAAAAATGTTTCCCACACCGCCGAATACTTGGCTCTAATACCATTTGTAATAACTCAACCTCACCAACAGAGATTTTGTCCGCTTTGGCTCGATTACGTATCGCTGCCTGCCTCGCGATCTTCAAATGTGTCTACTGGGGAGAAATTTCCACACGTTTATAAGAAATGTTCTATTTCCCTCTACCACCGATATGAGATCTGATTAACTACTAATGCTCATAAAGGAATTATCTTTTCCTCAATTTCTCAGTATACAACCCATTTCCGGAGTTAGTTTCTCATATAATAGTCGCCAATTAAGGCCATAAAAGTGCCCTCATTTACAAAACAATGTCCATGACACAAGGACATGATCTATAGAGAACTCATGATTCAATTGGGTTAACCGTATTGAACTCATTGGAGCTAACAAATCACAAGTTCAGATAAGAGAAAAGAGAAGGAACAAGATCAACAACAGACCAAGCAAGGCCAGCATATTGAACAAACCTAATACCCGTGTCGACGTCAAACGAGTCCTGGCTCGAGAAGAAGAACAGCTTATGCAGAGGACCACGTTGTTTGCTCCCATCCACCTTACCAATTGAGGATGATTTTAGCATTGGGATATAGCTGGTTGATGTTATGGGCATACCCAAGGTGTTTGAAACAATGGGAAGGATCCATTTAGCCAAAGCTTTGCTACAAAACTTCACCGTTAATATGGTCGGTAAACCGACGAGCATCCGACCAACAAACGTCGCAAACGGGAGTTGCGGTGTAAAGATACGCGCAACGGCTTCATGATGAAACTGATGGTATGTTTGCTGTACCCCTGATATCTGTAGGACAGAATCTCTCATATATTTGAAGGATTTAACCAAACATCTAAAGAACAGGGAGCTTTTGATTGTATAATCATTCAAAATGATACCAATGAAACACATAACATTCATCAATTGTGTCATAGTTACTGCACTTTGAAAGAAAATGTTGCTTACAATTCCAAACGCAACACCATCAAAAGCCGTGTGGAATTCATAGCTTGGAGTAGGGAACTCAGGAGTAGGATAAGCAAAGAGCAACAGAATGCTTAAGGCACCCCAGAAATATGTAACTGCACCCAGATATTGCATTCAACAAACAGATTTAGCAAAAAAAAAAAAAAAAAAAAAAG